TAGTAACTTAGCAGAGCGTAGTTCCCCTGTGCAAGCACAGGTCCTCCTGCCCAGTGCTTGTGTATGCATAACTGTTCCTGTGCAGGTTGCCCAGAGAAGCTGTGGCTGCCCCACCCCTGGAAGTGTTCAAGGCCAGGTTGGATGGGGCTTTGGGCAACCTGGTGTAGTGGAGGGTGTCCCTGCCCACGGCAGGGGGGTTGGAACTAGATGATCTTTGAGGTCCCTTCCAACCCAAACCACTCTATGATTCCATGTTCTGTTATCCCTTGCAGAGCCTTCCTTATTTAACAGGGTTGTGTGTAAGAGCACATGGATCAACCTCATGATTATATATTTGCAGGACTGGGCCACAGTAAACAAGATGAGAGGGAGACAGAACTTCCCCCTTGCAATAAGACAAGTGATTCTTACATATTGCTAAGGAAGACTTTGCGTTTGTTCCAGGACAGTTACTGGGAAGTAATAAGCTCTCCCAAACTGATGAGCAGGCCAAAAGCATTGTGCTCCATATGGGGGTTGTTCAGTTGAGATCAAATGCAATATCTGTTTTCCCTGTAATATCTGACACATCCTTTATCTGGGGAGGGAGGAGATGATCTAATTCTCTTTGCCACGTATGACTGAGATTGTGCATGCAAGGCATGTATAGCGTCATTTAGATAATAGACAAAAATATTTGGAGCAGAAAGTTAAGAGGAGAGATATTATAGTGGTCAAAGAACCCATGTTTGTTTTTTCCTTTTCATTTGTAGACTGACCTTGTCCTAAATCCCAAAATTTGTTGACTAAGAATATGTTTTAGTTTATAAATCATGGATCAGCTAACTTACTTTGAGGCATTGTTTTGTTAGGAAGGTTTTGAAGCTAAAGTCTGCCCCGTGGGAATGTGTGACATAGTGAGAAATGTTTGGAGAATATTTTCTTTTTGACTAGCAAACATAAGGCACAAATAATATTCCTCCTTACTGTTTTATTTTTCTGTGTCTGAAGTGAAGGTTTCTGTGTAGTGCATTTGGCATGAGATGGGCAGGTGATAAAAGCTTTGGATTAAAACTTTAGAGTAGAAGATGTACAACAGTCATCTAGTCCAGCTGCCTGAGTTTTTGTTAAGTTCATTGGTTTTAGCGTTGATTTTGTAACAGAAATGCCCATCAGATAACAGGCCTCAGAGTCTTTGGGTACTCTGGTATTCCTGCCTCACTGATCATCTATCCCAGATGAAGTCCAGATGTAAAAGAATACAATAAACATGTGGGAGCACTGGGTGAGAGGGCAGAGAGTCCTGTAGGTTAGACTGGCAATACCCGCAGCATCCCAAACGAAGCTGCAGGTACCTGTGCAGTGCCTTTAAATGGAATGTTATGGATTGTATCAAAAGGTTTGGGTGCCCTTCCGTGTTCTGACACGACACCCAGCCTCTGCGCGATACGATTTAGTGACGAGTCCTGCAGTGATGGGCCCTGCAAGGTCCTGCCCTCTGCTGAAATGCTGAAGAATAAAGATGCTCAGTGTGAGGGAAGTGCTTCCCTGTATGGATTTCCCTGGGTGCTTGAAAGAATACGTCATTTTTACATCATGAAAGAGCCTCGCTCACAAACCAGCATCCCCTCTGGCCAGGTACCTTACTGACATTGCCCAGGAGGATGACAACGTATCCCAAGGAGCTTAACTGTTTACTTTCTGGATCTTAACAGGTGAAACTGATTGACTACATCCACAGACAACGGCAGTGTAAGCTGAGCGTGCCCCTGAACGACAGGACAGCAGAGCTCAACAGCTACCCAAGATTCAATGACTGGTTAGACATTGTCAACGTGAGGAAAGAAGTTGTACAGGTAAGGGGAAGACCACCCTCAGCACAGAACCTTCCCACCCTTTCAAGACATTCCGAGCTGCCTGCTGGGTTTAAGTTGTTTTTCTGAGCTGACTTTCGGGCAAGGTGGGAGTGTGTGGGTACCCAGAGGGACCTTTGGTGGAAAGGGTGCTTCCTCTCTCCCAGAAGCAGTGATCAGCCAACAGGAGTGCTGAAATACTCCCTTCCCTTTGTCCTCCTCCCTTCTCCTAACAGCATTGGAAGCAACACCTCGCACCTATTGCTCAGCATGAGACAAAGGTGCCTCCTGTCCTTCCGCCTGCCAGGGCTGAGGATGGCGCCATAACTTAATCACTTGGTAACTTTCAGATAATAGTAATACTGTACCACACTATATGCTGTGTCCAGTACTAGCCAAAAAAGGACCAAGAGTTGCAGTTTTGTGCACTGACATATCCAACAAACAGACAAAAACGTTGAGTTGTTACAGCCTGGAGTTTTCTAATTTCTAAAAACATACACGCCACAGTTATAAATCAGGGAAGATCCAAAAATAGCCACTAGCACTATGTCCCTCTGAACTTAGACTAGCTAAAAGAGGAGGATTCTGATCTGGGTTTTGACTGGAGGAGAGTCTTGGCTCACAAACGAGAGGTGTTTTGATTTTACACACACACACGCCCCTCCATGAGGAAAGTCTCTGGTTCAGACTGGTACCAAAGCACATTGCACCCGTGTAACAGAATGGAATGAACAATTCTCCTGTGGTGGTCTGTGTGGTGGCTGCTGTCAGCTGCTCGGGTGGCTCCTTCTCATCTTCACAGTTTAATTCTTAACATGCAAATCACTGGAAGCCTCTGTGCTGCACAGAATAGCCCGACCCTTCTGCTGGAATCAGAAATGACCAGATCAGCTCCTGTCTCTGACACGTTTGTTTTTTCGGAAGAGGAACCTGAAATCCCAGCTGCATTCAGGTGATTACTGGGAACAAGAGGGCTGCAGGCACTGGTGTCAGGACTGTGCCTGGCTGCCCCGTGCCATTCTGCACTGGGGAGGGTTCAGTTCAGCCTCACATTAGTGGCAGTGGAAGTGGAGCTCAGTCCACTGATTGCTAAACAAAGCAGAAAAGGCTTTTTCCATTCTTTTTCCCATTTTTGGCTCTGCAGGCCAGATCAGTGTTCTCATTCAGCTTCCTTTGATCCTTACACAAGCAAACATTTTTTTTTTACTTCAGCAGGGATCTACCTGAGTGAAAAATTCAGTAAATTTCCTTGGAAGTCATTCCAGCTTGGTCCTGATGTAACTGAGCAGACTGGTAAACCAGGATGAGTTCAGGACCAGTTGTTCCTTGTATTGACTACTGTTTATTTGGAACGTGATGCTGCGTATGGCCTTCGAGCCCAGCACGGTTTGGGGGAGCACAGCTGAAGGTGCAGCAGTGACCAAGAGAGCAGGAAAGCAGCCTGTTGCTGTGGCCAAACTGCCAGACTCACAACTATTGTTGGTTTCTAAGGTGACTGGAATTGCCTGAGCCTAAAAGAATGTCTTTGTAGCTCTTTTTTAAATCCTTTGTGATGCCTGCAGCATTGGGGGAAGGGAAGAGGTGAGGAGGAGGGGTGGAGGAAGGGGGAGGGAGGTGGACAATTCAAATCCGCTACATCCTGCTAATTCAGGGAGCAAACAGTGTTGAGGCTGCCCTTCCGTTTGTGTGGTCCCTGAAAAGGCTGAACAAATTCGGTTTGGGTCTGAGGCAGGAAGGGAACACAGTCCAACTATTAATTATTTTTATTTGTGCTCTCTCGTTGCCCTGTCCCAAGCAGTGAGCAGTGTTACGAACCATGTTCCTTCTGTTATCTGGGGCAGGAGTATGAGAGGTGTACAAAGCATTTAAATTCCTCTGTGATTCCAAATGTATGGGGTTTTTTTAAAAGTTCTGCATCCATGTCATGCAGCTGCAGACAGCTTCTGTAGCATTTATATTAGCTGCACAGGAGAACTGCAACACTCTTTGGGTCATTAACATTATTTTTGAGTAGGCATGCTGGAACAGGCTGTAATCTGGGGGAAATGGAAATAAACCAACCACTCTTGTTCTTGCAGTGATAAATATATTTTTTTTGTCCTGTTATTTCACTGCTGAGAAAATAGCAATGCAGTCACTGTTGGCGTTTGTGGCATGGACATCAGCAGACAGTGCAGGGGAGACGTTTGCCTGTGGTGAGGGGTCTTTCAGAAATGTTACAGGTATCCTTGCAGCTTTCCTGCTGTTGCTTAGATTCTCTACAGCATGTGAACTGCAATTCAGCTGAATGCTTTCAAAATGGAAATCACTGAAGGAAGAGCTTTAATAGGTTAGTTATTAAGGAATATATAATGGTTTCCTGTAGCTTTATGCACACTGCCTGTGACATGACTGGGGAGAGAGGTGGTTAGGGAGCCTTTAAAGAGATGGCTGAGTAGGTCAGACAATGAAAACGGGGATGCTTGAGTCCCATACCTGGTTCTGGAGCTGGAGTACAAGATACACTGGGGAATGACTTCCCACCTCCAAGATACTGTTAGCTCACTGTAAAACTGACAGTCATACTGGCTTTCCTTCTTAATGCTTAAAAAAAGTGCTACAGAGAGAAAGAAAACCCCACAAACATTGTGATAGTGTATTCGTTTTAGGCACATAGCCTTCTCTTGAGACTTTTAGGCTCTGAAATTAGTTGGAGACATGTCCAGGTACCTGCAGTCTCAGAGAATTGCTGCAACACAGCCTTTCCCTGGCCATCTCTGAGATTAAACAGAAACAGAGGATACCATGCAGGAGGTGCATGCAGGTGAAGGGCTCTCCTGTGGCTCACTGCTTGTCTATGAATTTTTTTGCTTTTTTAAGTGGTTTTGATTCCCTTTGCATTTCTAGTGTTGCTGGAGAGAGTATTTCAAGATTGTGCTAATCTGTGACATAACACCTTTGAAAAACAGCCTGATTGCAAGCAGCTTTTTAGCTCAGTGGTTAGAGAAACAATGCCCCTTTTCTCTCTCTCCTCCCCTCCCCTTTCCCCCCCAGTCCTCTCCCAAATAAAGCTGCCATGCCGGGAAGCACAGGAGCTCCCAGGCACTGCTGTCAGAAATAGAGCACCAGCTCTAATTTCGAATATCTGCTGACTCCTCCAGCCCAGGAGTGAAGGCTATTTCTGCTCAGTGACTTGCTCTAGACATTGTGAAGCTTGAAAGCTCTTGCAGTTACAATTGCTGTCTTGTCGTTGGGCTGCTTTCTTTCTTTGAAAACCTATATTTAAACAGGAATAATGACAGCTTGTAAGATCCTGTAGTTCTGACAGATTATAGAAATAACAATGCACTGTTTGTGGCGCTGGGCGACAGCTAGAACTCCTGTGAACACGGCTAAGAGTCAGCCGGTCGTGCTGTGCCGAGTGCGAGGGCTGTTCTGGGAGGACGTGGCCGACTTGGAGGTAGGTGGTGAATACGAGTTCGGAGTCTGTGATCCTGGTTGCTCCCTGTGAATGCACAATTCCGAGGGGTACCGGAACTTTGAACCCCGACCCCAACTTGTGCCGTTTCTGTTTCTTTGTTACTGCTCCTCTAATCAGCTGCCAGGTGGATTTTTATCATAGAAAACGGTGGCTAGTGTAGAGCAGGCTCTGCTGCGGAGCTGGGCTAGTATTGTTCCGTAACTTTCTTTTTAAGTATTTTTCTAGGAAATGCTGGAGTCCTTGGTTTTGGCCAGCAGTCCTAGAGATTGATCAGCACTGTGTACATGCAGTTTAGTACCGTAAATGATGTGTAAATGGTTAAATGTGGTGGATTGAAACTGGGCAAAGAGATATTTGAACTGAGAGCTAGAAGAGGCAGGACAAGGAACCATACAGACAGAAGACACAGTTAAGCTATGCAGTGGTCTCCAGTGGGTAAAAGTTGCTCTGAAAAGTGGACCTAGAAAAATGTACCGATCTGAATCTGGGTCCCTTGAGAGCTGGAGTCAGGAATTGAGGGGGGAGTGGGAGGGAAGGAGCATGTGAAGAGAGCACTGTCCCAACTCTTAGGCTGATGGAAGAAGTCTTTTGCAGAGCTGTTTACTAGGTTCTGGGCTCGGGGAATGTCTACCAAAAAAAAAAAAGATTAAAAAATCTCTATTAGCTTATTCTCTTTAGCACAGAAAAAAATCCTCTGTCTTTACTGTTGTACTTCCAGAAACGCCACTATTCTATTTGTTCCACATATAACTTGTCACCATCTTAAAAAGTAACTTCAGAACAGTCAGCTCCTTATCATCTCCTGAGACATGTCTGAACCAGCCCTGCTCACCATGTGGCAGGGGTTCCAGTCAATCAAGTGTGGAAAGCTGGTTTTGGAGTAGGTAACTGTCGTGCACGGGGGGGTCAAGTCCTGCCCTAGTGATTGCTGGCTATAAGGAGAACTTTGCCACCAGGGAGACTGTGTGGGAACAGATGGAACAGTACTGTGGGTGGGTCTGGTTTATGGCTGTTGCATTTGGGGAAAGGATTAGACTCCCAATGTATATGTTTTTTCGTAATATCTCCTCTTTGCCTATGACACTTGTCTCATTCCCCATTTAGCATTCATGCCAAAGACCTACTTTCTTGTAAGGAGTCTAGAGTGGTTCCTGAGCAAGCCAGGGAGAGCACTTGGCACGCTGGGGAGCAGAGCAGGAAAGGCTCATGCCTCGAGTAGGAACTGTCTGTTAAGGGTCTCCTGCTGCCCCTGTGAAAATCTGCAGAGGATGAGGCGTTGGCGCAGGTTCGACATGGACCGTGGCAGATGGTGATGCTTGCTTGGACTGCGGTCCAGCTCGCAGCAGATCGTGCTGATCAGTTGCTGGAAGAAAAATGGGGGGTTTATGTGCGTGTGCATCCTTGCTTTGGTTGGGGAACAGAAGCAGCAGATCTGCCTAAGCCTATCGAGTTTCCACAGCTGTATCCTCCCATCTTTTGCTGTCAGCATGATGAGGACTTTGGCCATTTGCAGAGGATTTCCATGGGTTTGGCAGCAGAAGCTCTGACTGGACTGCCAGATAGCAGAGATCCCGAATGTGCCAATTGTGGGTATGCAAATTAACTCTGTGCTGCAGGCTTCCTGGACCTAAAACTCTGTCCCCATGATCCAAGGCCCCTCCCCAGCGTAAACAGCTCTTGGAAAATACTCTGTACTAGTGCCAGGGTTTCCTTCCCCTGCCAAGGGGTCTGGGTGCCCCTTGCAGCCGTGTTCACTGTGAATCGTTCATGGTTTGAGGTCAGCTCGAGGCTGATCCCCACAGGATCTGCAGTGAGACACTGCAACCACTGCGTCTGTCTGCCCACAGAAAGAGGGGTCAGAGACAGCAGCTGTCCTGTCCACAAAGAGCAAACTGCATGGGAATGCCCTGAGACCATCAGCTCCTCTCCACCCTGTCTGCGTGTGAGAGGTGAAACAGTGAAGAGGGAGATGTTTTGTCAAACAGTAGCCTCTGAATACTCACAGCTTAATGCAAGCTAGAAATTTCATAGACTCATAGAATCATTTAGGTTGGAAGAGACCTTGGAGATCAGAGAGTCCAACCGTTAACCTAACACTGCCAAGTCCACCACCAAACCATGTCCCCAACGTTTCATGTGAGAGGCTTTCCAGAATGCCCATAAAATCTGCAGAAATTTATTAATACAATAATTTTTCAGTACCTTCCTTACTGGACACCAGAAAACCAGAGCAAAATAACAACTAGCAGGCACAAGATGTTCTCAAGAGCATCCTTACGTGTTTTGCTTAGAGCTTTCAGTGGGAATTTAAGCACCTTATGTAATGGGCTTTCTCTTGGAGCATCTGCTGCTTTCCGGGAAGATGACTGGTGAGGGATGTTGATTTAAGAGGCATGTGGAGCCTTGACAACTGTCCGGCTTTAGAGGAAGAGCCATGTCTGGTAGGTGGAGGAGCAGGTCAGACTAATTTTGCAGAGTGCTAGGAGCAGCATTAACTTTGTAGGCTTATCTGCAGGGAGGCATCTTTCCCAAAAATAACTCATCCACTGTGTTAGACACCAGCATTTTTGCCATGTTTCAGGGATTTAAGTTGCACACCAGACAAGATTAAAGACCTTCTTACACTGTTGTGAACTCTTCACCCTGACTCATGGAGACTAACCTTTGGATGGCTTCTTGGATACACCGCCGTTTGCTTTTCTCTCTTTTAAACATCTGTACTAGGACGTGCACAGTCTGTATGTCTGATAAGCCGGAGGGCTTTGTAGAAAAGTCCTCTCACCTGTTGTATAGAGGAATAATTTCCTGGTTTGGGCTTTTTAGCATCACTTCTGAGCTGTGGTGAGCACGTGTGGTGAGTAAGGCTTTAGCCTTTGCTGGCAGTTTTGAGGTGCTGAAAGATTGAAAGCAGGTTCTGTCTCCTCCTGTGCTTTTTTTTTCCTAACCTGACCTTATTATTGGAGTAGTATCTGAATGTCTTGCAGCTTCCCCTGTCGTTCTGTAGTAAGGCAAGGTGTGCCCAGGGAGAGGGCACGTAGCTTGGCCCTAATGCAAGCCTTTAAGGTGCATTTCTTTAAAGTCACAGCACCCATGAAGAAGCAGGTAGAGGTCGGTCTGTTGGACCCACATTTGTCACCCTCAGTGCTGAAGATTGGGAGTAACCCCTTTGCAAGGGCCCAGAGTTGCACTTGCACCGAGGGGACTGGAGCCCACCACGTGCTGCTCTGAGATGGCCACTGTCAGGGCACTGTGCAGGGGACATTCTTTCTCCCAGTTCAACAGCTGAGGCAGAGCATCCAGCAATGGGACCTGTTTAGAAGCCACCTTGAACTGGTGACCCTCGTCATCATCCGTTGGCTGGGGGCTAGCACAGAGCTCCATCATATCGGGCCCGTCTTACAGGGATCAGGTTGCCCAGTTTTATATTAAGCCACCACGTATGTGCAGCACGAGTGGCTGTTCAAAGAAAGCCTCTTACTTCCCCTCCCTCCCCCACTTTTAAAGCTCCTTCTTTTGTCGCGTGTCGTGGGGACTGGCAGCAGGTTCAGAAAGTCTGAGCTCTCCCAGCTCAAGGTCACTGGGATTGTTTAAACATAATCTCCTTTTCTGTACTTATACTCTCCTACAACTTGCTATTCTGTCTTTCTAAAATTAAACTATTGAGCAAAAGAGTAGATTGGGGTGACATGCAGGCGCAGGAAGGGGCCAGGCTGGCAGCAGGCTGGCACACGGTGCGTGTCTGTGCAGGATGGTGCTGGGGGTGCTGAGCGAAGCTCCCAGTGAAGAGCTGGGGCTGCCCTTTGCTGCCCAGTTGTGCCTCGTGCGAACCAGTGTAGCTTTTCATGACAGGCCACACATGGAGTTGTAGAGCACAGACCTGCTTCAGGAAGTGAAACCAGGCAGCTTAGGGGTGACCAAGCCCTCCATAGTGATTGTGTCCTGCAGATGAGTGAGGGAAAGGGAAAAAATGCCCCAGCACTTCTAAAAAGCTCAATAGTCTAAAATGTTTTGTAATTTTTTTTAAACTTATTTCAAGGTTTTTCTCTGCAACCAGGAAGGCTTGAAAGTTAAAAGTGAAAGTTGGGGATTCCTGGTTGCAGGAGTTTGATCTTTGAAAAAGAAAAGCACTGAACACTGTCAAACTTGCAAGAACAGAGAATCCTGGAGTTTAACCATCAAGCTGCCGTGAGGCAAAGATGACAGCCAAGTTCCCTATGCCAGTAAACGTTTGGTTGTGCTCCCCTTTGGGAACGGGAGCAGGACCTGTGAGGCTCTGCACGCCGCTGTGCGGGACCCAGGCCCACTCCATGAACACTGCAACACCTCATCCCTGCCATCCTCGGGCATTTGTGCTGATTGTGAGCTAAATAATTTTGTGCTTGTGAGGTGTACCTTGGGAGCAGTGAGTGTGTGTGCTGTTACGACCAGGAGCTGAGCCCGGATGCCATTCCGCATACCTCTTACAGTAGGAAACAGGAGTTCCCCAGTTAAGCCTTAACTATAGTGGCACAGCCAGAGGGCTAATTTGGGGTAAGTTAAAATAGTCATTTGCACCTTGTTGATACAAATTGAAGCACACACTCAGTGTATATACTATTTTTTTAAGTCCAAAGGCCTAATAGCCCATTTCTTACACCAGGAGGACTAACTGTACAGGGGCAAGGCTCTTGTTGAAGGTGTGGTGTCATCTGCCCTGGGTAGCTGCTGTACTTTGCCCTCCTTGTGAAAGGAGAAGAGACAGAGGAGAACCTGACTGTGTCCTGGCTGCCTGAGTGGACACAGGCTTGCAGACCAGATTGTTCTGCTCCTTCTTTTCTAGCCTCTGTGTTTTGGGGTTTTCAAAATTGTTTTATTGGGATTTGCTTCACTGACTTTCCTGTGATCGCTAAACTGGGCAGAAGGACCTTTTTCAATACCTGATGCCACACTTGCTTTTATGAAGCATTGCAGCTCACTCACATTTCTGCCAGATCAAACGTTTGCTGCCAAGCCTCAATACCCCCCGTGCCAGTCACTACCCCAAGTGTTGGCACTGCAGATCGGTGGTGCTTGTCCACTCCGGGTGCTGCCACAGAGCAGGTGTTTGAGAAACCAGATCCCCAACTGTGCTGCACCAGTCCTGTCCCAGCTGGCTCTGCCTTGCAGCTGCCTGTGCTGCCCATTTAAAGCCTGGGCTAATGACCCGGCCGTGGTGGAAAAGCTGTGCTTTCCCTAGGAAATGTTGGTCTCTTCCACTTTACTGATTGACTTACTAATAGCTCTAATAAGTTACTGGTTACATTTGTGTTGTGTGAAGGATTGGGAAGTGAGGTGATACTGGGTAACGTGACTCGGTAGCTTATACTGGGATCTGGAATGACGCTGCTGCTTAAAACGGTGGCTACGTAATCCGGGTTGTTTTCTCAGTGGGGAGTGGTGGGGGTGAGGAAGTGTTTCAAGATAGCTCAAGAGTGACATCGCTGTAATCCCGCTTACTCTAAGACCGTGTAAAAGCATGAAATGGGATAAACGCTTTTGTAGGAGCCATTTGCTTTCCCTTATGCTTAATGGGGAAACATTCTCTTCCCTGCTTCAGAGCACAGGGGCACCCGTGGTGCTGTAGAAAACTTTCTTCCGTATTAAGCTAAAAGTCGCTCCGCGCTTGCCCGAAGTCGCTGTCCCTTTTGGAGCTGCCTGTGTCACTGCGAGGCTCATGTCCTGACGTCCTGCATGGCAGAAGCACCCGTGTGACACCACAGGACAAAGATGTTTCTATGAGCGGCCTGTCTGTGTGCAGGGCAGAGGGATTCAGGGCGTGCTGGGGAAAGACTTGGTTTAATTCTGTTGTTATCAGCCCAGTTTGGCTGGGAATCTGCATGAGCAAACCTGTACTGGCTTCGTGCTGGAAACCCATTCCAATTTCAACTCAGATGATCTGAACTCTGGATTTTTGTCTCCTTTGGAGTATAATATCAGGTTAGGAATCCCAGGAGAGCAGACTTTGCACCGTGTTTTCACTGGACTCTGTGCTTCCTGCATTTTCCCTGAGTGGAAGTCATTCAGGAACAAGCTTTTTGGGGCAGTCTTACTCCTGCATCTTGGTGGTGCAGCATGCAGAAAAATGAGCAATCATCCCTAGCATCAGGTGGGGTATCTGTGCTTTTGTTTTTCTGCTAATATTAATTATAGAAGAACCAGAACATTTACTCAGACTTCATTGAACTCTGGCTCTGCTGTGGCCCTGCTTTGTGCTTACTGCTCATTTAAATTCTTGGCCTCTCCTTGAGTCAGCTGTGTTTTGTGTTTCATCCAGTTCAGGGCATGTGACAGAAGATGCAGGATGCATTTCTTAGACTTCTGCCCTTTCTTAATTTATTCTTTTTCTGTGCTCCATGCAATAGTTACTAAAAATGGAAATGATGTGATTACTCTTTGTGTTACCACATACAAAGCTCCAAAGGTTGGGGCTGTATCCAGCACTGTCACAGTTAAAATCAAAAGTCATGCATCAGGTTTCAAAGGCGTGAGTCTGGATGAGGACAGACATGACTGTTAAAGGACGTTCAACAACATTCAAATTTGATTTATAGTCGGAAACGGGGTTTAAGAATCTACAGGATTTCAAGCTTGTTGTTTCTCCAAACAGTGAGACACACTTTGAGTTCCCCCTTCAAATAAAAGTTGAAACCCTTTAGTATAGGTTGATTCCAGGAGTTGAAACTTTAGGAAAGAGGCCAAATATTGTGAAATTTGTGATCTCATTGTGAGAGCAGGCAGCAGTGAGGTTTGTTTAGGCAAAACTTTCAGGGAAATTCCTGGGTATCTGGGCTAAATATCCTGGTTTTGTTTATTAACCACAATTGCTGCAGACTTACACTGAAAACATTTGAATGGGGGAGGAGAGAGGCTCAGATCTGTGTCAGGAAATACCAGATCATTTCATGCTTTCCAGTCTCTTGTACAAGTCTTTTGTGTCTGCCTGACCTAAACCTTATCACGTTAGGGGCTTTGGGGTATTAAGACATACAAGGAGTTCTGCACAAATATCTTTCCAAGCAAGATACGGGTAAGGCTGGCTCGCAAAGGAAGGAAAAGTTCCTTGAGGAGGAGGTCGCTATCTCTTTGTCAAAACATTTATGTTTATTTAACAAAAGAAGTAATTTTCCTCACTGTTTTTGCTTTTCACTTCCCTACTGAAAAGCCAAACCTCTTTATCTGACATTTTTTCAGAGTTTAGGCCTGTTTTGTTTCTGACTGCTATTTCTAATAAAAAAGTTAAGCTTTCATTAGTAGCTTTTGAAAAATACTGAGTGAAAACTTTCCATAAGGGGAACAGAATATTTCAGTCACCTCTAATCCAAATTACCAGAGAACGACCAAAGCACCTAACGATCCAGAGCGCACTCAAGCGCATGCCTGGTGTCGCACGATGTGGGGAGGAGCGAGCGCAGCTGCCGAGCTCTGCGGGGATCTGCCACATGGCTGCTGCTGAGCCAGGGATGCGCGAGATGCGCTACCGAAGAGAGCAGATCATGAGTGAGACCAGGCAGGGAGACAGTGGCACTGTGTAAAGCACATGTGAATCACACGCCATAGTCTCATTTATCTATGTGTATTTAAAAACCCGTATCATCTGTTTTTCTGCAGAGAATACCGGAGGAGCTGACCTTAGATGCCTTACTAGAAATGAATGAGTCAAAGGTGAAAGAAACAATGAAGAGATGTGGTGCCAGAGATGAGGAGTGCTCCAGACTCAATGGGGCACTGAGCTGCTTACGGAAGGTGACTGAATCAGGTACAGACTGCCTAGTTGTTCTATGGAATTAGGGTCTTGGCAACCCAGTCCCCATCCTGCTTCCTTTCATAGGAGACAATCTGCAAATCCTCTGGAGAATGTCTTTGGGTATATTCTGTAACTGCTATCAGGTCATGGCTCTTGGATGTTCATGAAGTTGCAGCTGTGGATTGGATTTGGTTTTGACAGCATGTCAAATAATAAAAGGAAATACATGGATGCAGAAATACCCTCTCCTACTCAATAGACTACATCCTTACTCCCTCTCTGTTCAGTCATGTCTAAACCCACCAGCATTCAGTACACATATCCTTGACCTAACGAATACAACCAGATTTCTTGCAGGTAATCCCCTTCCCAGATATTGCTAGCTCAGAGAGCAGGTGTAATTCTGTTTGGCATTACTTCGCTCAGAAGCCTCCGTGTTGTTCAGCAAAAGGCACTGGAAGAGAAAACCTTTGCTCTGACAACCCTTCATCACTGCCTAGCTCGGAGTGTGCCAATTGGTTCACTTCCCTTGAAAACTGCTCACCTCCTGCTATCTGTCTTTGTTAGAATTGATAAAATCATTAGCCAAATCCCAATAGCAGATTCCAAGAGCTAGAAAGAACCCTGATTTACCTGGAATTATGGACAGAAAGGTACTGTGTTATTAGAAATGCATCTGTTCAGCATGCAAATGGATCTGGCCAAGTTAGTTGGGATCAGTCCAGCTGGAGATTCCCAAAGCGCTGTTTCACCGTCTTCCCCGTCACCTTCCCCGCAGGCTGCTTTCACAGGCATTGTAAAATCTGCTGTACTCGGTTATTCCTCACAGCATACTGGTGCTAACACGGATCAGATCTTTGTAGCAATTATCAGTCTGTCACTGAAAGGTGGTGTTTCCTGCTGCTGTTATGACAGTTCATACCATTCCCGAATCACAAAGATTAGTTAATGGAAAAGTCAGCAAACAGCTCAGTTTCGTTCCATTTTTCTAATCTTTCTTGTCCTGGGCTGTCAAATGTTTCCCATCCGTACTGTGGCAAAACCAGCCATGGCATTCACTTATTATAAAGAAATGACATTTTTAAAAATCCAGGTATATTGTCTCTTTTCAACCACTCCCTGGTCAATAGGACACCAGGGTCTGAAAGTTTGACTTTTCACCTTGATTTAAGTCATTAAGGACATACTTAAAATTAAGACAGTTATCCGGATGAATTAAGCCTGTGAAATTATCCCAATCATCTGTGCCGTCCTGCTTCGCTGCCTGCAGGCCTTTGCACTTTTCCCCGTTTCTGTCCGGAATCGATCTCCGAGCTGTGCTGGGTCACTGTGAACTACAGTGTTGGGCGCTGTGGAAGGCAGCGCGGGGCTCCAGCAGCGATCCGGCAGGACGTGGTGGTTCCCTTTTGTCCTGCCGTCTGTCCCTGGTGCTGCCCTAGCTCGTACAGTCTGAACAGACACAGCAGCTCTGGGCTGAGTGCTGCTGCTGCCTGGAACTGAAGAGCAGTGCCCCAGTACTCCAGGTGCCAGGTGAGTTCCAGGCACTGGGTACATACCAGAGAGAGGGAAAAGTGGTCAAAGGAGTATCAGGAGCTCCGAGATCCCCCTGATTTCCAATCTAATGGCCTTTCTCAATGTAAGTGGTATTCACCAGTTCTGTTGGCTAATAGAAAATAGTTGCCTCTTTTTACCAAAGACCAGTCTAAAAGCAGACAGGGTGCAAGGCTGGATGTACAGATTTGTCTAAACAGACTGGCACCAAATCCCCAGAGGCTTGCAGTGGGATGTGGGTGCCTGTTTTGTGCAGGTATGGATATCCCAGATTCTTCAGTAGGGCCCCAGTCTGTTAAAACTCAGCCCATCTTAGAACACAGGGCCTGATTTTAGCTTTTGAGATACACAGCTACAGGTAGGGAAGACAGGTGCCTCCTGCCATTCTCATTCTAAAGGTTACTTCAGCTGATGTCTCGGATGGGTGTCAGGGAAGGAGCAACTAGGCCAGCACCTTGGCTAGGTTCACAGCAGGGGGAAATAACCCCCCCTAAAGCAGCATGGTGTGGTATGTCTGAATGCATTGGCTTCTCTTTTGACTCAATTGGTGCTACGGTTGGTGAACAGGTGGGGAGTTGAAAGACGACGTGCTGATGAACCTTTCCGAGGCACGGCGAGAGAACAGCTCTGCAAACACGGCAGAATCCCCCTGCTCCTCCGCGCCGGCGTGGACTCCCTCTGCTCTGCACCTGCCCAAGGGCAACAGCCAGCAGGCACGTTCTGTCTCAGTGTCTACAATCCCAGCTTCAGATTCGCTTGCCTCGAGTCATGGACCTTCTATCTATGCAGAAAACCTCCTGGACCCTTTTGCATTCCCTGCACACAGTGGAAGGTTAACACCAAGGACTCCTCACAGCATCACCATCACTCCACCAACCACCCCTCAAGCCAAGAGACGACATAAGCTGAAGCCACCACGGACTCCTCCTCCCCCTTGCCGGAAGGTTTTTCAGCTGCTGCCTAACTTTCCAACCCTCACAAGGAGCAAGTCCCATGAATCACAGTTGGGAAATAGGATAGACGAAGTTCCTCCAATAAAGTAAGTATGACACTTCCTCCTGTCCCATGGGCACTGGTGGGCTGTGTTCGCACCACAGGGCGTTCGGTGCTCCGGTTCTGGCTGTGTAAAAGAGCTGGTGTCCAGTTGCCTTGTTGTGTTTTCACTGTAGTCTGGGAATCTATGGCAGTGGGATATTCTAAGATGACCACAAAACCTGCTTGTTCACAGCGTACCACCTGCTGGGGAGGCTGGGGTGGTTGCTGCTATTAAATGGCCCCAGACAGTTTTTCTCGAGCATCTAGTAGCCTATGCCACATGCTGTAATTCTCTTCCATCCTTAACTGTTCCTTACTGCTCAGGTGCCTGACACCTTTTTATGTTTTTATCTTAAGATGTATAATAGCTGCTAGCATGAGCTCTAGAACACGTTTATTAAAACAAGACAAGTGGTCTTAGACTACACCTTTTTTTGGACTGATCCAGGCTTTGAGATGTGTTTTTTTTGTGTACGTAGGATGGAAGATATTAATCTAACATTTAACTAGTAGTTGAAACTGGGAAAGAAATGTGCCTTCCAAAGACCCTGGCTGTCCCTAAACACTACAGAAACTGAAGTGAGCATCCAAATTGCGTAGCAGGCACTGGATGATTACAACTTACACCTAACTCTTTGACCACCTGCAAGAGGTCAGAGAGCCTATTCTACGCAGGACCTTTTCACGGAAATTACATTTTTATCTAAGGGAAACTAGCTCAGCTGAGAAGGGAGCTGAGATTTTGGGGGAGCATTAGGAGCAAAAGGCCGTGCATTGATGCTGCAGTGCTGTACTGCCTGGTGGTGATGAGAGTTCATTGTAAATGCGTAGCCTTGTAAGCAGCACAGTGTTCTTCCACATTGTGAGTGCATATGAAGTACGTACGAAAACCTGCAAACTGCAAAACCTCTAAAAGCAGCACGTAAGCATCTGTGGCCAATGCACAGCTTTGCTTCAAAATGCCATGGTAAGAACCTGGTTCTGCTGTCATCCAGGTCCTGCTGATGGATAGGAAGTGCAGAAGTTAGCACTGGTGTGGTTCAGACTGTCCCACAGAGCCTGCCAGCGCACTGACTTGCGCGGCCCCATGAACGCTTCCCCTCTGCGAGCCAGAATTCAGGTGCACTCTTGGACGCTTCCCTCGCAGGCTGGAGCTGCAGCTCCACCCAGCAAAGACTGCCGTTTGTAGGCAGGAAAATATTGGCTGTGCAGCAACTTCAGGAGCCTGTGCAAAACCAGAGGTGTTTGTAAACCTGACATCAAACGCTGCAGGAAAAAGTTTCTGCTCTAGCAAAGTGCATATCCTGTCACATGAATATGAACGTCTAAAAAAAATATTTTTTTTTCTCTCTAGGTTCGGTAAGAGATTTTTATAGGGCTGTCTTCGTTTCGTTGCTGAGGGAGAAGAACCTGTCCTTGTCAACTATCTGTTGATCATCCTCTGTGCATCCTCTGGAGGTCCTCGATAGGCCCTGATGTCCCAGAGTTTTCCAGGAGCTTGGCTACTGGAGAACTGCAGGATGTTTACATGGTCTTTTTTGTACCTGGTATTTCTTCAGATGACAAAAGCAAGGAAGAGGAATACTGGTGTTTGAAGGGTTAAAGCAGGGGGTTTGGGTGTAACTACTTGTCTCTGACTTCAGATGGCTGTTACTGGTGCCTCTTGGTACTGCAAGTAACTGTGTGTGTAACCACGTAGTATCTCCGGGTGTTCATTGCCCAGTGTCTCTGTAATGGAAGCAGAGAGTTCCCTTCAGCAGGTGCTGCAGTGTGGCAAGCTTGCTCCGATGTTGCCGAGTCTGTCCGGGTGTTTAAGAGCTTACAGGACAGGGCTGGTGTTTTTATCCAGGAACGGATCAATGCCGTTTCGTGCGGCAGCTGTCCAGATGTGACTGTGTGTCTGTCTCTGACACACCTGTAGCCTCGGGAGCTAACACAGAGAGATCTGGGCATCTTGGAAAGGGTCTCCTCTTTTTGTAAAGTATAAAAGTCCAAATAAGGACATTGTAGCACCACAGATATATCTAATCCCCTTGAAAACAAAATCCCAGGAATTACTTTCAGAAATGACAAAGCACAGGAAGAAAATTGTAGAATGAAAACGCAAGCAGAAATCTGAGCATTTCTCTGTGGAGAGTAGTAGAATTTATGCAATAAATAAAAAAGACATTTGAAGAAATTCAAACAGAATTGAAGAATTTTGGTCCTTCTATGCATATAGTCATATTGTCTGTTTTAAAATCTATACTGTAGGATCTTTTAAGTCTCATTCAATTCCTAACTTTGTTATTAGGACTCTCCAGTAAGGATTTAGCCATCTTAACTGATGTTAACAGCCATCCTAACTGTTGTATTATGATTAATTCAGACGACTGTACGTTTGGATAGCCACACTAGATCAGCAGTGTTCCTTGGAAAAGCAACTAGTCATTCCAGCCTATTCTAAGATGCTGAAGACCACAGATGCCTTTAGAAGTTCACTGGAATATGATAACAAAGAATCTGGTGCCATCTAGGGTCAAAGAGAGAGACTGGCTTGTTGGAAGCATTGATTGTCCAGCTTTGACGCTGCACTGATGCCTGCAGATTTGAGTTTTCTCCAGATTTGCAATATCGTGATAGATTTAATTCAGGAAATATGCCAGAATGTTAGTATTTGAGAGTTTAGGAAGTTTTGTCGTATAACCGCTGGAGTGCTGAACTAGCGTTTTGAAGTTAGCTGTGCTTATCAGCTAGCTAAGAGATCTCACATAAATCTTTTTATTCTTCTGGGTCACACTGGCCCTGTCTATAAAATGGAGAGAGTAATTTTCAATATAAAAGACTATTCTGAAATCTACTGACACTGCATGAAAAGTGGGTGATGGTATTCATAGTAGACCGATGGGGAGTAAAGGATGGCCCAGACCTCACCAGACAGACTCCTGTAATCCCTCAATGTAAAACATAATGATTTAACAAAAAGAGGGAAGACTTATGATTCCACCACCAAATCTTATCTTACACCATATGAAAACAAATAGAAGAACAGTGTCTGGCAGTAGCATTACAGCAGAAGGCAAAGCGATCTCAGCTGTGCTACTAACTGTTGTGGCTACTACTCCTAGTGTGTGACAGCGATCACTTTGTTTCTGCCTAGGCTGGTAAGCTTGTGAGTTACACCTCCCTAAACCATGTTTTTGTTCTCCCTTAGAACTCTCCCAAGGATCCCCTCAAACGGTACGAAGAGACTTTGGCCTAGCAGTAACACACAGGTAAGCAACACATGCCGCGGGCCACACCGGGTCAGCATCCTGCTCGGCGCGGTTGTTGCCGTGAGGACTCGGAGATGGCTTTGAGGTTGGGTCGGGTGCCTCGTTTGCCAAATTCAGCTTCGTTTCTTTTCAATGTGTCACTGATGTGTCCAGCACTGGAAATCCGTTTACAGAGCCGATTGACTGGTGACCCTGCAGTGAGTAGCGTACCAGCAGTAGCAGCGCTGTGGGGGTGCAGGACCGAGTGTGCCCAATGTGTATCAGTGCCTTTTCTGAAGGGAAGCTGCTCCTTCCTCCCTGCATGGAAAGAACACGTACTTCCCTCTTCCTCCCTTGTAGCCTCCTGCATCCCCCTTCCCAAACCCAAACTGGGCTAGCCAGTTCTAATGCCAAACTTACTTATCCGTTCAGTTTTCTAGTAAAAGGGATAACACTCCCACCACCACCCACTCACCATAAACTGGGTCCCAGTTCTGCACAGATGTTCAGGTGAACATAACCAGCACCAGGTGCCACGTCCTGCTGCGCTGAGGAGGGCCAGCAGCAATGGAGAGGCAGCACGTGCTCGTGTGCTGGCTGCTCCTCCTCAGAGAACTGGCTTGCTTCACGGGTGAAGCTCAATTCCAGTTTGAGGGGTTTTAGGACCAGAGGCAATACTCTGTCTCGTGGGCACCTTTCACTGCGCGAGGCTTCAGACCTGTCATTGCCAAGCTGCAGCTCTAAGGCCCCTCTAGAGGCGTTTGTCACGCACAGCCTGTCTCCTTGCCGGGGACACCTCTGAGCACCTCTCCGCTCTGTTCAAGAGCGCAGAAACTAGCAAGAGGCCAGCGGAGGTGGTGCCAGCCTTCTTTCAGTTGCTTTTGATCAGAAAAGTGAGAATTCTTTTCCACAACACAATGTGCCCTTTCCAGAAAGAGCTAAAGGAGCAGAGCCTGTCTGTCACTACCCACAAACATTAATTTTCCTTCACACACCAGTTAACATCATTTTTCCCCTCTTGTCTCCACGTAGGTTCTCTACAAAGTCTTGGTTATCTCAGATTTGCCAAGTCTGTCAGAAAAGCATGATGTTCGGGGTGAAGTGTAAGTACTGCAGGTGAGCACACAGTGAGGATCTTTCTCCGAAGCACTTTGCATTTGGTTCATTGGAGTTTGCCAGTAACACGTGTCTCTTGACGTGATGCGAGTACTCTTACCAGTGGCATCGTTTTTTCAGTCAGCTTCTGAACTGGTAAAGGGATGCTTTGGCACAGCTTATACTTAGGTTAGCAGCTTGACACGTGGATGAACCATATTTATTTCCTTGCCACAGGCTTCCTACCTGATCATGGGCGAATCTTGTAGTGGGAGCTGGCTACTTAAGTAACAGCAAGATTTTAGTTTTTGCTTCTCTGTCTGGGTTGAAAGTCCAGAACACTGAGATTTTAGTGCTTCACTCTCCCTGATGAGAGTCAGGGAAGGTAAATACATTAAAAATAAATGAGATGCTAAGATATGCAAATGGATTTCATTAGTCTAATGACACACAGAATAGGATTCTTCATGTGAATGCATGCTGCTTTGGGGCCTGGAGCATTCCAGAACTCCTTCTGAGATTAGCATAAGAATTAAAAATTAAGGGTAGGCTTCCTCATTTTGGGAAAGAACAAGTTGCTATTTAACATGTAATGTTTCTCTTTCAGATTAAAATGTCACAACAAATGTACTAAAGAGGCACCTGCATGTAGAATATCCTTCCTTCCCAGTAAGTAATCTTCTACAAATTTTTAGCATTTCAATGTAATTGATGGTATCGCAAGAATAAAAAGTTTGATTAAAGCTTTTTTTCTCCCTTCTCCAACCTGTTTTTCAGTAACAAAAATAAGAAGAACAGAGTCTGTCCCTTCTGACATCAATAATCCAGTAGACAGACCGACAGAACCACAATTTGGAACTCTTCCCAAAGCACTAACTAAAAAGGTACATGGTGACTGAATGAGTCTTCTGTAAGTCACTGAGGAGCTACAATAAGGAGAGGTGGCAGCAGTACCTTGCTCATTGGAGTAAGAAAGGCACCTTGAGCTTTCACTTTGCAAGGAGACTTTGATATGTGATGTTTTCTCCTTGTAAAACAGGTTGTGTACAGCTCCAGCTGCCTGCTCACTCAGGAAAGGCGAGGGACAGCTTTCCTTTCTCCGTTGCCCAGTAAACATTGAGGGGAATTCTGTCTTTTTATTGTTTTCTCATGAGTGACTTTCCTTGCTTTGCAGGAGCATCCACCAGCAATAAATCATCTGGACTCTAGCAGTAATCCTTCTTCCACAACCTCATCCACACCGTCTTCTCCAGCACCTTTCCAGTCTTCCAACCCTCCCAGTGCAACACCTCCCCCAAACCCATCTCCTATGGGCCAGAGGGATGGACGATTTAACTTCCCAGGTAAACTCATCTTTTTCAGGAGACCTCTGCCAAGGTCAGAAAGGCCTGTATGCCAGCAGAGGCTGACCAAGACTTCACAGGCAGTTGAAGGTTTCTGAGTAGATGGTTGTGTCTTACACAAGGTGTGAAGGTGTGTCTTGTTACGTGATAGAAGAAAATGGTCTGTTCTTCCAAGTTTTTAAGTGGTATCAATGAGATACCTGTGCAGGAGACAGACTGTTGAGGAGCGCTGGCACCTTTCTTAAATGATCTGATCTTTCTATTTTCTCCTTTTTTGAAAAGGACTAAAAAAAATAATTCTTCCTCCTCCCTTTTCTCATTGTATTGTAAAATGCATGCTGCCTGATGTGTTTGGTCACCAGTGGCTTTAAATCATGAGTAAATTGATTGCTAGAGCAACACATGAAAATGAGAACTAGAATTACTGTACCAGTCCCTTCCAAAAGACAACCAACAGTCAACACTCATTTTAAAACTACTGACATACGCGTATGGCGGACAAGAATTTACCCTACATACTTTACAGATTAAGGACCCAACTGCGCAGTCTTTGCCAAAGTCAGCAGAGGCAAGAATCTATGATAAGGGCAAAGCTTTACAGAGTGAGGCTAAATTTAATTCCTTTGATCTGGAAATGAAGTCCCATGCTGCTCAAGAGCTGCCAAGATGTGGCAGCCTTCAGCGTTGCTGTATTTTGCGTCAAGCATTTGATCTGTGAGTGAAAGTTGCTACTTCAGCCGACTCTAAAGGTGCAGAAGCAGAGCCATCTTACTACAAGGATTCTACTGCAACTGCTTTGTATTAGGACATACTGTTTAAATTCACTGAAATAAAAAAAAAAAAACCCACAACAATGACTTGGAAATAGTTCATGAGCTTCAGCTTCTCTGGGTGCATCTCTGAAAAGCTGAAGGCATGGGAGGGCACTGAAGTAG